CTCCTGATAGAGAAGTCATTTAGTTATCCTATGCTTGAGTTTCTTGATTTATAAAGAAGCTGAACATGATTACCTTTAATATCATTTCCATTTCAAAAATTCTATTTTTTTTTAAAATGAAATGATCATTTTCTTAGGTATCTAGTTCTACCATAAAAGAAATACCACAAATGGATGGCTTCAACAAACAGAGGTTTATTCTCTCACAGCCTAGAAGGTGAGAAATCCAAATTCAGGGCACCAGCTCCAGGGGAAGTCTTTCTCTCTCTGTCGGCTCTGGAAGGTGCTTGTCATCAATCTTCCCCTGGGTCTAGGAGTTTCTTAGTGCAGGGACCCAGGACCCAAAGGATGTGTTTCAGTCCTAGCTCTTCTTTCTTTGTGGCAGGAGATCCCTCTCCTCTCTGCTTCCTTCTCTCTTTTGTATCTCAAAAGAGATTGATTCAAGATACAACCTAATCTCGTAGATTGTGTCCTGCTTCATTAACATCATAGAGGTTAGGACTTACAGCACATAGGTATTTTTATCAGATCACAAAATGGAGGAAACCACAAAATACTGGGAAGCATGGTCTAGCCAAGTTGACACATATTTTGGGGGAACACAATTCAATCCATAACAGTCATCATCCCATTCATAAATAATCACATAGACTAAACACTCTATAAACAATCTTTGTTAAACCAACTCACCAAATTAATGTTTCCGTCTTCTCTGAGATAGGTATAATCTGGACAAAGTTTCCCAAACTTTAGTGCATATCAAAACTACCTGGAGGTTTGGTTAAACACAGATTTCTGGGGCCTGTCCTCAAATTTCCTAATTCAGTATGGCTAGAGTGAGGCCCAAGAATTTGCAATTCCCATAAGTTCTTTAGTGATATTGATGCTGCTGTTTCAGAGATCACATTTATGAGAAACTCTGCTCTGTAGTAAGTGCCCACTTACCTTCCTTGCTGTCAGTTGAGTGTCTGATTACCAAAGGTATTTGCTAGTTGAAATTGTTTATTTTAATTATATAAATTAGCTAAATATTATGTAAACTTATATAGAGGAGTCATTTTCAAATTACCTGTTAAATTAGGTATGAGGATTCTGCAAAATATTGGGAAAATTTAATAAAAATCTAAGATTTTGTGCTCAGATTCCTTCCCAACTATCTTTAATTTTTCAGTCCAATTAAAAGCTAAACATAAAAATAGTAGGTGGTGAATTATTGGTAATGAACATAACATAGGCACAAATGGACATGGGGAAACTTTTGGGGTGATAGACATGTTCATTATCTTGATTGTGGTATCCTGATAGTTTCATAGTTGTAAAACTCAAAACCCACTGCTGTCGAGTTGAATTCCAACTCACAGCGACTCTATACGACAGAGTAGAACTGCCATATAGGGTTTCCAAGGCTGTAAATCTTTATGGAAGCAGACCACCATATCTTTCTCCCACACAGAACGTCTGGTGGGTTCGAACTGCTGATCTTTTGGTTATCAGCTGAGCGCTTAACCACTGCACCACCAGGTCTCCTCATAGGTGTATATTTGTGAAAAACTTATCAAATTATACACTCTATAGTTTACTGCAAGTCAACTATACTTCAATAAAGCTGTTAAAATACACAAACACACATATGCACATATTCAACTGAACACTAAAATGAAAATGTCATTGTTTAAAAAATTTGTTAGGTGTGCAATTAAATACTACTTGTTTTTGACAATTGATGTTTGGTGCTTTTTTTGTATTTCACTCTTAACAGTAATAACTGAGTCCTAAATAATTAATTACAGCACATTAAATACTACTAACCCACAATATGGTAAAAAATAACCTACAGTTTTTTTTATTAAATATTTAGAAATGTCTGCTTGCAAGTTTTATTTTAAATGGCTGATTTCTTTTGTAATCCAAAGTACTGTACTATTTGACTTTTTCACCCCTTTTCTATTTAGAATAGAATTTTTATTTTAGGCAATGCTAAGTAAAATTTGAAATTTAGTAATGTCTAAATAATTCTATTAATATATTCCCATAGAGCAGCTTTTTTTTAGAGTAATGTAGTGGTGTTGTTAAAACATATGTTATCTGAATTGTTTCTTAATGTTTTATTAATATTTATAATGGATTTTTAAAAATATTTTAACATCTTAAAACATATTCACTTATATATTTTATATGTAGTGAAATTTTTCTTTTTATGTGCCTCAGAAGGGGGAGATTATAAACTCTAAGGTGGCACATAGATAAACTGTGCTGTATATTCTACCCCAATAGCAGTAGCCAACCATAACTTCGTGAAGTCTATTTTTTTACTTGGAATCTATATTTCTTTAATTTTCACTTTCTTTCCTTTAAAAAATTGTTTACTTTTTCAAGTCATCCTTACCTTCTTCACTTCTGTCTTAGAGGGAATTCTGTCTCTGCCCTGGAGAAAATACTTCCTCTGCCTGAGCTCTGTACCTGACCCTCTAAATTTCTCTGAGACTTTATTCCATCAGTTATTGGCATTTTTCTACAGATTTCCCTTTCCATCTCTACAAACTCTTTCATGAATGAATGCATGAATGAATTAATAATAATAACCTCTCCTGGCCTTAATTTCATCTTTGGGGTCTGAGATACGTGCGATGGTTAAGCTGATGAGAAAGACTCGAAGAGCTTGGGTTTAAATCCTGGTTACAGTGTTCAATTAGCTCTATAGCATTCAAAAGTTTTCTAACTTCTCAAAATTTTAGTTTCCTTATCTGAAAATGGTAATAATAATAGCATTGTATAAAGATTAAATGTTTCAATTCATGTAAATTTTTTAGCATAATGCCTATTGCGTAAGTAGTTGCTGTGGAGTCAGTTTCAACTCATGGCAACCCTATGTGTGTCAGAGTAGACCTGTCCTCCACAGAGTTGTCAGTGTTGATTTTTTGGAAGCAGATTGCCAGGGCTTTCTTCCAAGGCACCTCTGAGTAAACCCCAACTTCCAACCTTTTGGTTAGTAGCTAAGTGCATTTACCATTTGCACCACCCAAGGACTCTGCCTTTTGAATAGCAAATACCTAAGGGACATTAGGAATCATTATTTTTAATTTTACATTTTCCCTGATTTGTATGTGCTGCCTGTTTTTTTTTTCTGTAATGTGACTATGATATATATAGTGAAACCCTTCTCCAGGACCCCTGAAAGACCTTTCATCCTTCCTAATTCTGAAAGAATTGTCTTTCTCTGTTCATCTTGTTGTTAGGTGCCATTGAGTCAATTCTGACTCATAGTGACCCCATCTACAACAGAATGAAACACTGCCCGGTCCTGCACCATCCTCACAATCATTGCTGTGTTTGAACCCATTGTTGCAGCCACTGTGTCAATCCATCTCATTCTTCTTTTTTGCTGACCCACTACCTTATCAAGCATGATGTCCTTCTCCAGGGACTGGTCCCTCCTGATAACAAGTCCAAAGTACTTGAGACGAAGTCTCGCTATCCTTGCTTCCAAGGACCACTCTGGCTGTACTTCTTCCAAGACAGACTTGTTTGTTTTTCTGGCAGCCCATGGTATATTCGATAATCATCACCAACACCATGATTCAAAAACGTAAATTCTTCTTTGGTCTCCCTTTTTCATTGTCCAGCTTTCACGTGCATAGGAGGTGACTGAAAATATCATGGTTTGGGTCAGGCACACCTTAATCCTCAAAGTGACATCTTTGCTTTTTAACCCTTTAAAGAGGTCTTTTGCAGCAGATTTGCCCAATGCAATATGTTGTTTGATTTCTTGACTGCTACTTTCATGAGCGTTGATTGTGGATCCAAGTAAAATGAAATCCTTGACAAATTCAATCTTTTCTCTATTTATCATGATGTTGCTTATCGGTCCAGTTGGGAGGATTTTCGTTTTCTTTATGTTGAGGTGCAATCCATACTTTCTCTCTCCATAGCTACCCTCAAAGACACTATCCAAGTGTCTGAGTGTTACTATTTCCAGACACACCCCCAACATAGAAATGCACACAAACACATACCCGGAATAATATGCTCAGCAAATCTAGCCTTTCAGAGATGAGCGTTTTTGTAGTAAGCCTGCAACAACTCCTTAGGCCAGGAAAGAGCAGAGGCCCAAATTCATTCCTTTATGTGTCTTTCTGTAGCCCCCTACAATAGGATTTCTTACTTACTCTTTTAAAGTTCTGCATAGTCGTGAAAACTAAAAGAAACGTTGCAATGTAGCTTCCCATCATAGATGGCTTTGTTCCTTAAAAATATTATAATTATTTCTTTCAAAATATTAGAGCTTAACTTCATTCCTGGCAGATGGTTATAACATGATGAGTGAAAAGCATTAGTAATTTAACATAGTTAAGCTACCGTGGAAAATTAGCAACTTTGTGAAAATTGAAAAACTCATTTCCTAATGCGATTTAGGCAAGCAAGGCTGCAAGGATTTTCATTAAATAATATAAAACAAATTAGGGGGATAAAAACAAAACTCAGGGGCAGTAAACAACATCACATTAGAGATGACTTTCACAATGTTTTAACTGTTTACAGACTAAAATCATTTAACTAAACTCTATAGTTCTAAAACCAGAAAAATGCTTCTTGATTATTAGCTAAATAATTTGAGGTAGTTGTTATTATTATTATTGCTATTTAGAATTTGACCAATGGTATCTAGAAAATGATTAATACTAAATGAATTTTTAAAGTTTAAATTAACAGTAATTATGCGGTTTAGTACTACAATAATTTGTGTGTGGAATGTACAGTAGTTTCTTCAGCTTTTTCTTCCCGTATCTACTTACGATAAATGTAGATTTCCAATCTCTAAGCACATAAGAAATGAGTTGCAGAGTATATCAGATGCTTCATTTCTTAGTGAAGAATGCATTAAATTTTAATTGTTACTAAGATAAAATTGTCAAATGCGAACTCTTTGTTTCGTTTAATTTGGTTGCTGGCTTCTTTCTTACGACTTAGAATATATTTTTCTTTTTTGTTTCTCTCTACAGAAAGCTGACCTTGCAGTTGCTCCTTTGGCTATTACCTACGTTCGGGAGAAGGTCATCGACTTCTCTAAGCCCTTTATGACACTTGGAATAAGTATTTTGTACCGCAAGCCCAATGGTACAAACCCAGGCGTCTTCTCCTTCCTGAATCCTCTCTCCCCTGATATCTGGATGTATATTCTGCTGGCTTACTTGGGTGTCAGTTGTGTGCTCTTTGTCATAGCCAGGTAACATGCTCACTTTTGTGATTTTTTTGGCAATTGTTACCTCCTTTTTCTAACTAATAATTGTCAAAAGTCACAATGAATTTTAATTTTCCTTTATTTTTTTTTTAATTTCCCATGGGGTGCTGAAGAACAACGAACTTTTAAGAGTCACATCAGTTATTATAGTGTACTATGGTGCCTGTTTGAACAGTTAGCATGCTGGTTATGTCAGTAAGCTATAAGTGTGCTAGGGTTTATTATTATTAATCAGAATCTAAAAACAGTCCAAATCACTATGGTATAAGAATTATTTCCTCATTTCTGAAGATTTATGTTGAGTCTGACAGCAAAATATTCTGTTACTTACCTGAATAAATAATTCAGTCATAACAATAACCAAAATAATAAAATTTAAAAGGAAACCTTTTTTTAAAGAACCAAATCTAATTTAAAATAAGCATTTTAAGTATAAAAAGACTTCCATAACTTTCTACTTAAAATTTATCATTGTTTTCACAGAGTAAATATATCACTACACAAAATTTTCACTTACTTATAGAGTATGTTTCATGTCATGGAATCAAAAACTAAAATACCTAATTGAAAAATACATAACAGTTTCCTATTTTATACTCCTTTTAAATCTAAGGTACAGTTCAGTCTATGCTGAATTTCTATTTTATTCTTATTTGTTCTGAAGGTGTAAATTTGTAATTATTTTTCATATATCCTTATCTCACTAACAAAATTTCAACTAATAGATCATTTTTAATATAATTTATTTTACTTTTACCTTCATTGAAAAGATTAACATTGTGCCTCACGACTCAGAACTTGTATTTTATTGCCCTTGTAGGTCTCATACTCATGATATTCTTTCAATTTTTATATTCTATCAGATATCTAGATGATAGTTCTGAATCCAAAATGAATTAGAATTCTACATATAATTTTTCATCTTGATAAAATGCTTATAATTTATAACTGGGAGTGTGTTTTGTGCCTTATCCTAACTTAAATATGTGGGTTTTATTTCAGTTACATTACATAGATTCTTTCGATAAATATATCAGTAAGCATATTTGTCCTTCCTTTAACTTATTCACTTTTTTAATGAAATCATTAATTTTTTTCTTAGCAGTAAAAAAAAAGGTTTAGCTCATTCATTTAAAAGAATAAGAAAATCAGTTATACTGTTAGCATAACATTTTTGAAAAGTTACACTTAAGTATTAGGTAAATTTGTAATTTTCTACTAATTGGTACAATATTAACTCTTAAGTCCTTAGGACAACTATCAGTTGTATCTGCATAAAATTTGCAGTGGAACCATGTATCCACATAGCATTTGAAGCTGTATTGTAGATTCTGTTAAAAGTTTTATTTGAACTTTGAGCTTCTCTCGGAGCTTTTGGAGTGTAAAGTTCATAACCTTTTAACTCCAGCTTCTATTTCCTGTGAAAAGCCTTCTGCTTTTTTAGAATCATTGGATTAATTACATCTTTTTTTCTAGTTACCAACACAAGCCATCTATTTTATATATTCAGAGAAATGATTTCCAGGGTTTTAGTTTAAGTAACCTAATGGCCAGAGAACACTGCACCCTGCCTACAGGACAAAAAGGAAAGTATAGGAAACAGTACATAGGAAAAAATCTATACAGTATATAGGAAGAAAACCTTCCTTGATGTCTGCAGGTAGACTTATTCCTTCTTAATCAAATTAACAAAACTTCCTAGGGGCAACTGGCCCTGAGACAATCCTAAGGCAATTGTGTGGGCAACTATCAAGCTGAGTTAACAAATGGTAGTTTCCCTGGAAATCTTAAACAAAGATTTTTTTTTTAATGTTAGGAATTTTAGATAATCTAGCAATAATTTCTTGAGTCCAGATGAAAAGCAAATACAGAAATATTTTACTTCTTTTCCAGCTTAAAAGTTATTTTTGCAAATAGAGGCATGTGGTAGAGTTGTGTACTTAGCTAACTTTCAAAATATTTTGGTAACTCTCACTTTGATAAAGCCACATAGAAAATATCTGTATAAATATGGAATCCTGAATTTTTCACAAAAGACATGCATTCACGTCATTCTGTTTGAGAACATAAAGTCAGCTGCAGTGTGTCATTTTTTCTTGTTTTTAAATTTTGGAATGTTGCTGTTCTATTTTTGTCATCAGTTATTGAATGAATGGATTTAAAAATGTTACTATTTCAGCTTCCTATTGAACAATCTAAAAACAAATTGTCTCATATACTTTAAAAAATTGAGGGTAGAATCTTCATTTGTGAGCAAATTGAGACAATTTATTAAATAATGATTTTAGATATTCTTGTATTGAATAATAAGTAATATTAGATATTTTGGGTAAAGTAATACATAATATAAGAATAAATATTTTTATCTCTCATACTATTTTGTTCAATTCTCAGTATGAAAATTATCATTTTATAGCCAACTGCCAAATTTAAAAAAATACAAAATTAAACCTCAGATTAAAAATCCTTAAATTGAGACAGTTTAAATTCTAAACTGAACCTGCAAAATTAAATGAATTTGGATAAATCAAATCTGTTCTGACATGGTCTTGAACTTTTGCTACTATGACAGAAGTTCATGATATGCAAATGCACTCAAAATTCCCAAGTTACAACTGGAGAGCTCAATTGCCTTTCTAATTTAAATGAAACCAAAATATTTGTTACAATTCAAAACAAAATGCAGAGTTTTATTTAACCTATCTATAAAGGTTATGTCTTATGTTGTATAGGATCACTGATGAACCTATTAACATAATTATTGATGTGAAAATAAATATGATATTTTATTTATATTATGTACATTCTTTATCTCCATAGAGATTACAGAAAAATAATGAAAGGCAAACTCCATTTTAAAAAAATTTGTAAATATGTGTTTCATTCTCACCAGAAATCACAGAAACAAAAGCTTAAAACAACTACCAAACCAAAAGCAGAATTATTGAAAGCTGTATCATATTAAATTTTAGGAAATTGGGTAAATCATCTTAGGAATGAAATAATTTCTTAAAATTAAAAAGCAAGAAATGACTGACGAATTGTTAAATTTTTTTCTCACTATAGTTTTTGCTGTTCTTTGGACACCATCTGATACTGTTCCTATTATTATTGTTACAATTAATCTTCTGTATTTTTCTAGCTACCAAAATCACACCTTCAATTTGTTTTTTTTCCACGTTAATTAAATCATTCCATCAATCACTCACTCAATTTGCCAAATATTTATTGAACCTCTAGTAAGCACTAGATAATTAGGGTACCATAAAATAGTAAAGATTAATTTATATCTCTCATCTGTTCAATTAATGTGTTCAACAAATATCTACTGGCTACCCATAACGTGCTAAGAATCACACCAGATGCTTAAATTTAAGAACAAGCATGACAGGTATGTTCTTTTGATTAATAAGCTTACAGTCAATGTATTTATTTCTGACTCTAAATACTACTGCCCATGAATATAATTTATAGAAATATTTGATAGTTACCCTAAATTTTTTAGGAGTGCTGTACATTTTAAATATATTTTCCTAAAAATTGACTTGGAGTATACACAATATTCTCATTAGACAGAAATATAAAACTCTAAAGGAAATAAACCATTAAGCAGACAGTTAATTTTCATTAGAATTACTAGATTTGGGGCTTATTAAATATCTGCTCTGTGATAGAGCTAACAATGTCAATTTTCTGAGAAATAGATAGCTAATAATAATTTCTAGAATTTACGTTCTGTTGTGTTGGATTTAAAATTAGATTGTTTTGTGATTCCTTTTAAAAATTTTCCCTCATGCCTATTTTAAAAGAAAAAGATTAAGAAATCTTTTTTAAAAAAGCTCTGTATTTGTTTAGCCAATATTAAGAAAGGGATATATGCTCCTAATTTTTTTTTTCTTGGTATGATTTTATAGTATATGGTCTCTTACAAGTAGTTGCATTTTTTTATAGCATAATGACATAATCAGCATGCTTATCTGAATTATCTGAGAACCCATATTTGAAGAAAAAGAATTAGCCTTGTGTATGGCATTCTAGACATAGAATGGCCTTATCCCAGGCATCCTAACAATAGCTCTTGGCTGACAAAGGGTTAGGAAGAAATCTTGTCCACTAGGAAATGAAAACAAGTAACAGGATTTTACTCATGGTATGGTTTCATGGCATTTATGGTGGAAAAAAAATAGCAAGGTGCAAAGTCTTAGCAAATGGGTTGCACTTAGTCATAATTGCCCCATAAACCTTCTCCGTCTTCCTTCTATTCTGTTTTTATTTGACCTAGGTATATTTGGGTAGAGATAGCAGGTAGCTATATAAAAAGTCCTGTGGAGCCCTGGTGGCGCAGTGATTAAGCGATCGGCTGCTAACCAAAAGGTCAGCAGTTTGAACCCACCAGCAGCTCTTCAGGAGAGAGACGTGGTAGTCTGCTTCCGTAAAGATTTACAGCCTTGGAAACCCTATGGGGCAGTTCTACTCTATCCTATAGGGTTGCTATAAGTCAGAATCCACTTGACAGCAATGGGTTTTGGAGGGTCCCCAACCTTTATACTGACGAGAGATATTTTCACCTTGCTTCAAATATTTCCTTTATTAAACAACAGAACTGGTAGATAACCATTTATAAAATGAACTGAGTTAAATTCCCTCAAATATCAGAGGATTTTTAAATTTTAATTATAGATATCTGTCTTTAGGAGAGTCAGAGCTATTCTAAGATCCAGCTTGTGAATCTTGGTCTAGGGTCCTTAGTGATTTGTTATACAGAGATGAGTAACTGAAACTGACAAGAAGGGAGTAATGGTACACGTATTTTTCCTCCAACAGGATTGATATAACCTTAATAATTATTCACTAAGCAAAATAATATTGCATATTTTATTCTAAGATTGGCATTTTAAATTTAGATACAAACTCTGGAGCAGAAAAAGTAATACTATATCAAATTTTATAGTAAGAATATTTATTAAACAAAAATTTCTTAGGCA